AGGTTAGTATAATCAAAGAATGAAATGTTATGAAAAACTTATGTGAATGGGAGGTGTAATAAGCAAGTTTTCCAAAAAATTTCGCAAAACTGGTAAATGAAGATGTGAACTCAAATGGCTCGTTTGCAGCGCACAGATGACCACACAGTATGAAACTTGGTAGGTACATGAACACGGGCCTGCAGGGCTTATCTTAGAAGTTTCATTGAAAAATGTGAATGGAGGTTGTGGCAAGCTTTTTTCTGAAAATTTCTCACTATCAAGAAAATGGAAAAATGGCTCGTTTGCAGCGCAGGGAGAAATCGCGCGAGACTTGGTACGTATACGCGCAGTAGGACTAAGGAACAATGTATGAAAAATTATGAAAAACTTATGTGAATGAAGAGCGTGCTTAACTTTTTTCCAAATTAGGTGGGCAATTGCCCACCTAATGCCCATCTGAGATGAGCAAAACTTTCAATTCACATAATTTTTCAAAAATTTTTACATAAATCTGTTGTGCACCTAAAGTTTACTATATGGTAAGATTTTGGTTCCGAAACTCCTCCTCTTGTCTTTGTTAGAGCCCAAAATCGCATCAGCAGCCTAGCTTTCTAAGATGGAAAGCGCGCCCCAGTCAATCGATACGCGCGGGAACGGCGTCTCTCATTCCTATGACTGCGTTCCTTTGATATTTTTTCATTCCTTCATCATTTTCCTTGCTTATTCTTCTTCCTGTTTTATATCTTGAGGGCGAGGAGTAATTAGAGGAATTTGGGCATTTTAGGCGCTTTTGAGCGCTTTTAGGCGAAGTGCGGCCGGTGCTCTCGTTCCACAAGCAGAAAGCGTCATTTTTGGATTAAAGGGGGTATTTGTAAAAACTATTGGGGTCAAAGGGGAATTTGTTTTGGAAAACCCCGTCTGCCCACCTCGTGCCGGGCCCTGGTGCACATCCGCTTGAAGCCTGCCTACCGTAACTTTAGTAAAACGCCTGCATGAGAAGCTACAATATTCGTGATCAGCGGCTCGGATAACCCACGCAGGCTCAATCCGAGAACTCGGATTCTTGCAATTTTTTTGCTCTTCCGGATATACCATTCGCATTTAAGCTCGCCGTGGTTTTATGGCAAAAACAGTGAAAGTCACGAATCTTGATTCAAAAGGGTTGAGCCAGAGTGCGCGACGTACGGGCGTACGTGACGTACGCAGCGTACATCAGTATGTTTCATTATAGGCAGCGCGTCTGGCCCAACAAAAATTTTGCTTTTGGTGGTTTGCTGAGCCGTTGTTTACGATATCGCGGTAGTTTCGTTCCATTGTGTCCACAGTGAACTTAAAAGAGGTGCAACTAAATCTTGTGATTCCCTAAATTTCTGCATCTTTAGTTTCTTTTTTGCTGAATTTATTCAGATGAAGTATATCGACTGAGAAACCTTTGCACAGTTCCAACAGGTCATGCGTTTAGCAGCTCTCCACCTTCACCACTTTCCAGGTTACACGCTTAGAAAAACACGTTCACGCAACATATTGTGCGAACGTTTTCGAAACTATTTTGTCTTGATCAGACCAACAATCTTGTGATACATTGTCAAATTTCTATTTGATTTTTGTTTGGAGTCCTGTTCGCAACGGTGTGTGTAGTGTACATCACATTTAAGAGAGCCCTATAAGCACACAAAAAAAGAGCAGTTTTCGTCGAACCCAGCGCCAAAAGATAGAGGAGACATCCTTTTAAAAATGAGATTAGAGCTGAGTTTCGAAAAAAACGCATGTCCACACATCTTATACTTACTATTACTTTTTTTGAAGTTTGCTTGCGAAGCGGATATAATTTCCGTGATAAGCAGATTAATACCACTACAAAACTACAAAATACAAAATTACAAATGTAAAAATAAATAAAAACAAAAACACAATATACAATATAAAAAATTTCACAAACATCCTTCATTAAGAGTTCTGCTATTCTCACATGCTCTGTAACATAAAGGGCTATCTACAACATGCAATGAGTTACACATTCCCGGAAAACCAGGCCGGCACAATCAATTTTCACCGTAAGCCTAGCGTAAGCCAGCCGCTTACAGCAGCTCGACATACCCGAAGATTCGCCTCGGAGAGCTGAGTTCAAATTCACTTTTGGACTTGGAGTTTCTTGACATTAAAAGAAGTTATGCTAAAAACACAAAAAGTCGGCGTCTTTGGTAAAATCTGCGAATTTGGCGAGTTTGCCGATATTGCCGAGATCTTGTACATGTATTGTCACATTATCATGACTGTGTATCTTTTGTGGTTTGAACAATAAGAACTTTCGTATCTCAGTTTTGCTTTGAGGTCAATTCTTTCCAAGTGCTTGAACGCTAATTCAGAGAATTCAGAGAATTTCTGATTTCACAATTGATCCTGTAAATGGACTAAAGTAGTTAATCATGCCTTTTGAGATAATATGAGTGGACAGCAAAAGTAATCATATTGTGCAAATTTTTCTTTGTCAATAACCTAGCTCCCCTCGGAATTGTGTAGTTCTTCAGATATACGAAGTTCAACTGGAATCTGCAAATCTTTCAATCATTTTGAGCGAATTATCATACGAGTGTTGATAACTACATTTCAAAGCACAGTACCTAGATGTTATCACATCCGTGTTTTTGATGCCAAGCAAACTTTTTATGAGGGAATAGTCACGTCTGAATGTCGGAAACTTACATGAACAATACCGATTGTATTTAGAAAAAAAAATCACACCGCACTTTTAATTTCGCCGAGCTTTGTCGCAACGCCATATCTTGCTTCAGAAGGACGAATTCTGTACTCAAAAGCACCATTCAACTCAGCTCGACGAGGTGCATTTTCTGATAAAGCGTGCATTTTGGCAATGAAGTCGGGCAAATTTCACAGATCTTTCTATATTTTTGATCATGTAGGCTACTCGTATTCCTATTCGTTGCATAACGTAAATTTCTCTTGCAAATTTGGAACGACACCCGAGATCTTCCCGATTACCGTGCTCAAACGGGCCCCTCTACGTATCAGTATATGCATCTCGTGAGGCTGAAGGTTGAATGGTGCTTCTGGATTCAGAATTTGTCCACAAGTAATATATTGCGATGCGAAGCGAACTTCGGCGAAATTCGAGTACGGTTTTTGAAGGTAGGGGTGGTATTAACTTACTCTTACAAGGGAAGTTCACTTGTTCGAAGTGGCGATTCGGAAGGAAATCTATACCACTGGATAGAGCTCAAAAAGCTGATCTCAGATATACCTTCTATATCTGCGACGCATTGTTCAAAAAGTTATGAGCTTTTCTAAAGCCAATTTTTCGTGCATTTTGAGTCGCAAAATCATAATAATCGCTACACAAAAGTGTGCAGGCTCAAGCAAACCGATTAGTAAGCATTGTAGTTCCACGTCGAGTTCATTCGAACGCGTTCGAGTGTTTTTCGACCACGTTGTTCATCCACAGGTCATCATTTCATTCCTAGATCGCTTTTCCATTATATATACAAAAAAGCCCCATAACTCCATCTAGAAAAACGCGTTGCATCGGAAACTTTTTGGAAACTACCAGTGGATAGAACGTAAAACGATGTTCTTAAATGTATCTTCAATATCTGCGACGCGTTCTTCTAGATGGAGGTTATGGGCTTTTTTTGTATACATAATGGAAGTGTGATATAGGAAGGAAATGACGGCCTGTGAATCAACAACATGGTCGGAAAACGCTCGAAAACTTCGCATGAACTCGAATTAGACCCACAATGCTTTCTAGGTGGTTTGCTTAAGCTTGCACACTTTTGTGTAGCGATTATCATGATTTTGCTACTCAAAATGCACGAAAATTTGGCTTTAGAAAAGCTCATAACTTTTTTGAGAACAACGCATCGCAGATATAGAAGGTATATCTGAGATCAGCTTTTTGAGCTCTATCCACTGGTATAGATCTCCTTCCGAATCGCCACTTCGACTAAGTGAACTTCCCTTGTTAGATGCGGACAAATGTATTAGGTTGGTCCGAAAGTTTTGTCAGTTTATTCAATCCATCGCCAAACACGCCAGAATGAAGATAAACAAACGCTTCAAAGGTGTCCAATGCAGAATGTCTTCCTCTTTCCAGCTGCTAGACTCCCATTATCTTTCGTTGTTAAAGTGACGAGATATCTGCGGGAAATAACAACCACTCGTTTTTACCGTATCCAACTTTCACTAATCTTCAAAATTTTTGTATGAGACTTTTTGAGGAGCCCTGGTAACCAGCAGACAGGGCAAACCTTTTGACAACAGAAGCTTTTTTTTGTAGCCCTGCGGCTTGTCTTTCAGTATTTCTACGATTTATTTTTTGGAGTGACCAAATTATACATTCAGCATGTTTTGGCCTCTTAAAACGTAAAATGTCAAACACAGTCACCATTCGATGCAGATTTTTCTCCTCTTTCTAATACTTGTCTTTTTTTGCCAAGACAAGCGAAATTTGTGGGGAAAATTGCAGTATTTCTCAATTTTAGAAGTGCGCACTGGCGTAACTTATGCTTCAAAATGTTCATAATTTGAACGAAAATCGCTCACTTACTTTGTAATAATAGCCATAGTAATAATCGTGTGTTGAAATCCCAGATCGAAAATTATTCAGCAAAAGTTTGAAAAAGCAGCTGAAGAAAAGAAAAAAATTGCGTAAGTTGGCAAAAAGTTTGCCCTATCCGCTGGTTATTAGAGCTCCTTTGAAAGACTCATACAAAAATTTTGAAAATTGGCGAAATTTGGAGATGGTAAAAACGAGTGGTTGTAACTTTCAGCAAATATCTCGTCACTCTCGCAAAATCACACAATGGGAGTTTAGCAACTGGAAAGAGGAAGAAATTCTGCATTGGATACATCTTGAAGCGTTTGTTTATCTCCATTCTAGCGTGTCTACCGATGGATTGAAAAAAACTGACAGAACTTTTGGACCCACCTAATATAATGCGGTTCGTGGGCTTTATGGTCATGAACTATCAAGTCAAGCTTCTTCGCAAGTTTATTTTCAGACCCAAAGTCGAGAAGCGGTACTGACAGTGTAGAAGGTTACAAAAGTAAGCCATTGTCTCTTCATTAATGTTCTCATATAAAGTTTTGCGAAAAGTGAACATTAATCACTCGCATTTTAACTGCTTCTTTACAACTAAACTTTACCTCTGTTTCTAATTTCTATCTCTGCTTTTTATCTAAAAGAAGAACTTCTATCTCTATCTTCTCTATCTATTTCTATCTCTTCTTCTTCTAATTATCCAAAAGTGACCATTAATTAATGTTAACTGATTCGTTGTATTAATTTTTATCCCTGTTTCTGCTTCTTTGAGTTTAATTTTTCCAGCTCTGTTTGAAGTATTTCAGTATTTCGCACAGAGAGCGTTGAATAGTTTTGAGTATATTCTATCCAAAATCTAGGGTTCCGCAGATGGTAGGAAAACATTATGTGAAGAGGAGTATTTTTTAAGGTCACAGACTTCTTTGCTAATTACTGTATAGTATACCGAATTATGAAGCCATTTTATCGCGGTTTACTTAATGAGTGTGTGAACAAATTCCATTCACCCTGTTTGGGTGATGTTCGCTTTATCGGGAAATTTTCTTTAAACAGACAAACACCCTCGTTTTGAACTACCGGGGTTTGCAGAGATTGCACAACCATTGCCATGTAAAAGAACGAAAACGGCATGCACATCATGATTATTAGCTTTACTTTCAGACTTTAGACACCTGTTCGGAGCCTTCTCCCAACGCTGAACCGATATCTGGGCTTTGCAGCGTATGAGACTAGCGAAAATGATCTCTTATCATAGCTCTCCATGTCCTCACTCGCTGCAAAATACGTGTAAATGGGCGAGGTACAAAAGACACACAATGGATTAGGCTTCCCAGGCGCACATTAGATTAGTTGGAAGCCATTTCAATTCCCGTAATCATCATTTTGACGTGACGTTCTCTTTGAAATGCCTCGTGTAGTCATATCTGTCCTACTGTGGTTTACACTTTCATGCAGCTTTTGCAAAAACTGAAAGGCAGTGAACTACTATGATGGATGTGTTCTCTGACCGATACGTTTGGGAATCCCTCAGTTCTCCCTTAACAAGCAGCACTCGCTTGAATCTCAAAATTTGGCGCCTGCACTTTGCAAATCATGTGATGATGATAATCACATCGTGTTCGTAAGTGGAGTTTAGCTAATTGTAAGAAGATAGTGCAGCGCCGAGTAAGGACCTGGGTTCATACTGTTCCCAAAGAGCCGGGACATCGAGCACAGTTCTCAACCTGCGCTGGGACTGTACCTGAACTATGCTGCATGCTCTGCAGCCGCACCCATGCAGTTTTGAGTAGCGGGAGTAGCAGATTTTTGACCGTTTTTAACGGTTTTTATCTCAAACTTCACTCATTTCCGTCTCATTTCTCTGCTCCGCTTCCTCTTGCGATAAACAAAGCCATGTAAGGAAGATGGGTTTTTGAACACTCTCATTTCTCTCTTCGTTTCAAAATATTGAAGGAACTCCGCGCTGACTTCTTGGATTTGCGCTTTTCGATACAAATGGTTAACCATCACGGCTTCCCGGAACACATGAGGTAGGTTGAACAAAATAAAGGTGAATGAATGGACGACCGCACAAAGTCACGTCTTCTCGGATACACGGAGCAGAACAGCGTCCGTTCTTCGACCCCGCTTCAAGCTGCAACTATTGTCATGGCTTGAAGAAGCGGGGTAGAAGAAAGAGCAAGCAAACAATGATATGGAAAAGCTGGAAATGCCTCTTCAAGATCGAAGTTCCTTTCAAAAGTGGAAGCGGAGTAAAGACCACAGTGTGTTTTGAAAAGGGACCCTTATGCCGCACGATTCTCTCAGGCCATGCGCAGCACGGTGTAGAGTCCTTTGGTTGCGAAGACGGCGTGTTCGGGCTGGTCGATGTAAGACAGGACCTGCGGCTTACACAGAAATAGGGCAACAGTTTCAAAAATAACATAAGCATTCCAAAAATGAACTTCTGCGCTTAATGAACACATTAGATTGCCCAGAACAGATAAGTAAACCGCTGTTCCACCAATCAAGCGGCGAAACAAGCAGCCAGAGACTTAAATCATCGTATTCTTCCCTGGTTAGATCATTATGGCGCAAAAAATTCGAAGAGGAGGATATTTTCAGATTGTTGAAAGCGCCCATGATGTTTAATAAACGTTTTGGATTGTTTTGCTTTTATAAGAACCGCTAGACGGCTTTTGCGTCAATTCAAATGCTGTCGTACTTTACCTGATTCCGAAAAAACATAACAAAGTGAGCCTAAACCTGCTAATTTTTGCTTTAGTAGGGGCAGGAAACAGTCCTCATAGGATCTGTGAAAAGATTTCTAGGTTATAGCACCTACTTCATGGAAACACAGGGTGTCCCAAAAGTAAGCACACATTTACACCGTTTATATCTCTCTTCCCACTGTGTCTTTTTTCAGTCATTCAAGTATCGTTCTGTAGAGGAGGCTGTATATGGATATGTATCGAACGAATCCGATCGCCCTTGATTACTGTGGATTACTGTAGGAACTACGACAAGGACTTTAGGCTATTAGAAGCCATATTATGCCTCGGAACAAAACCAGACAAGCCAAGAACTCTTATACTATGGTAGTGGAAGCCGCTGCTTTCGAATATGAAATTCCCACTTTACTGTGTTTACTTTTCTTTCGAAAGTTATCCCAGGTAAACCGTAATAACCGAATTCCCAGAATTTGTCAGAAATATGATCACAACGCCAAAAAAGCTGGAAAACACTCGTAAAACGTAGAGTAGTGGGATCAGCGTGCGCGAAAACCTAGTATACGATTTTTCAGATTTTTTGAAAAAAATTTTGTCAGGTGACATATTTCACAATGGTTCCACATGCTGAAAGTTCATACCGTAATCCTACAGTAACAAAGAGAGATCTGTGATTCGTTCGATATTGCATATTTAAGTTGAAGCCTCCTCTACAGTATGGTGCTTGAATGGCAGAAAAAGACCCAATGGGAAGAGAGATATAAACGATTGAAAAGTGTGTACTTACTTTTGGGACACTCTGTTTATTGGAAAAATGGATTCGGATAACGGAAAAATGCCGAAATCTCTAGCGCTCGCCGCTCAAAGCCGCGTGAGGGCGGCTGCAGGGTCGCCGCACAGTTCCGGCAGGGTGAGTGAATTTATCTACTCAAAGGACTCGCTGCAGCGTAGTTATAAAGGTCATGAATATAATATGTCCTCTGGGAGACGAAGTGATTGCATAAAATGCGGGGTCGTCTATCTCATTACCTGCCGGGTATGCTGGATATGTAGGTGAGAGAACTTAGTTTGGACTCACTAAAAAGCTTCCACTCCCTTAAGTGCGCACATCAGAGTGTCGCGCGATAGTGTGCCGTTTACATTTGCTGCCACAGTCTTGTCCTACGATTAAGAAACTATCCCAATCAAAATACTCGAAGCATTTTGGATCCTTTCACGTAATCCCAAAATGAACAAAAAAGACGAGTGTATTACCATAATCAAAGAGTTATACCGTACCAAATCCTCTACGGTTTTGATTGTCGAAGTATAAACATCACATCACTGAGAGCGAAGACGAGAATCACATTCTGCACGGTGTGACTACGAGCGGTCGGATCATCCAATTGAGAAGGTGAGATTTGGTTATTATTGGCTCCCCGATTGTCGCGAAGGCAGTCGCGATGTTCAACCGATAATCAGTTTATCAGCTACTAGTTGGCAAACCCGGCTCCGCCGAGCCCTGCTAATAACATATTTGTAATCAGCATGCTCGGTTACCCCCTGTGCCAACTCCCAGCCCTGTAGCTCAAATTTTGCAAAAAAATCGATAAAATCGATAAAATCGATGTCAATCGATAACGAAAAGTAGCCTACGACACGCTCCCTGCCCTGAAGTGTATGTGTGCCAAGTTTGGTCCAAATCGGTTCAAAAATAAAAATTTCTATTCCGCACATACGTACCGACATACATACATACAGACAGACACACATTCAGCTTTATAGATAAGATGATTCAATACCGCTGACACGCTCGCCCCACTCCCCCCCCCCCCCCTCCTCGCGGCAATTTGGGAGCCAACGGTAGCTCTTTGCTGGCCTTGTGCTTAAGGGTTTCTTCATACTAAGCCGCAGGACGGCGTGCGCCGCTGCAGTCGCAGTGAAAATATAAGCCCGCTCGCTGTGAAGGAACACTCGGAGAACACGAACGTGCCAAATATATATATATACATCCATGGCTGGCGAAGCTGTGCTGCCGTAGGCGTATATTTTCACTGCGACTGCCTGCAGCGGCCTAGTATGAAGGAAACCCTAACTCAGTTCGACGTTACAGCAAGAGGGCCCAGTGATTGTGCGCGCACCGTTTTTAATCACACGCTCTGAAGGCAGTGTTGGCGTTGAAACGTTAGCCAAGTAAAACGGTTTGCATATCAATCTTCGCCGCCGTTTAAAAACAACTTTTGAGACATTCGAACTGCCAAGACTCAAATAAGGTGGAACATGGAAATTGTTGTTATTTGGTGGTAATTATTACGCTTTTATTTCAACTTTGCAGTGAAGTTGTAAAAAAAACTTGTTTTGAAAAGGGAAGTGAATTTTTTTATCCTTGCATTCTTCCCGTTATTCGGGGTCTGCTGCTTTTGTGAGATTTCTCCATTATTCTCGGTCCAAGGCTTGCTGTTCAGTTATTTCAAACTCTCTCATATCTGCTTTGACTCTGCCTAGCCATCGCTTCTTAGGTCTTCCTCTTGGCCTCTTTCCTGGTACGCTTTCTGTCAACTCCAGTCTAGTTAGATGGTCTTCGTCTCGCCGGTTAGGTGTTCATACCATCGCAGGCGTTGTTCTTGCATCTTCTTGACGACAGGGGCGACATTCATCATGCTTCGTATTGTGTCGTTAGTAATGTGGTCCAGCACGGTAACTCCTACGGTCCACCTCAGCATCCACGTCTTCAAAAAACCGATCATTCTCTCTTCATTGTGAGTACACGGCCAGCATTCGCTTTCATAGAGCGCCGTCGGTCGAATGACTGTTTGGC